AAAACAATTCTGCACTACCTTATGATGGTCTAACACATGAAATCCCAGTGAAATACACTGAGAATTGTGCCTGTGCTGTGAAATTTGAAACTTTTTAAAGAGTGTGTGTCTGATATTGAGAGGTAGGCACTGTGGCAGGAATAAGCAGAGTGAAGAGCGAGAGTAAGCAAACTTCACTGCTTTAAAAAGTATTTTTAGTACAGTGTACATACAGTGTGTCTGAAGGTGGAACAAACTCCAAGGGCACCACTCTCTTGCCACAGGAAGTAAATGTATCTCTTCTAAAGAAGATTTTTCAAAATACTTTACACCTAAAAAATCATCACTAAGTCCATCCTTCTGTGATAAATATTTGTCCCAAATGGACTTATTTAGTTCAAATCAGGAACCATAAGCTACAAATGCAGATTCTGGATGAGTAAATATAAAATTTACCTTTTTTCAAAATAAGTCTTAAATGATTTTCTTTAAAACAACAGATGGATAAATCACATCATGGATCATCTATTTTCCATGAAATCATTAAAGACTCTATCCAAAGATTAAAACAGCAGCATCTAGTCGATGAAGTCTTTGTTCAGTGAAGGCCCCAGAGCAGCTGTAAATCTATATATTATATTTCTGCCCTGCAGCAGCACATAATAGACACGCACAGCAATAACACTGCTGTGATTTTTCTATGGACAACGAATTTGAATATAAAGACAATTAACGGTTTTATGTTTATTTGATCTCCCTCACGTTGTCATTATCTAGCTCGCACAAAGCTGCAAGTGTGAACAAATGGCCAGAGCTTGTGCTAATCTAAACTAAAGCAAAAAAGGAAATGCATTTGTTTCCAGGCCATTATATGGTGAGTCGTGCATTTGCTGGGTACAAATGGATATCATTTATTACAGTTAACAATGACATCCAATTCAGCCCTGCTAATGAACTTCAATGCAGTCATGTTCGGTATTAAGGAGTGATTTGTTGAGTCTAAGTGTATCATTTTGGAAGCTAATGTTGATGAATGTCTGCTTGTGGAAGGATGGGGACATAAAGGGGAGTCACTGTGTTAGAGCGTCCTCCTATTGAGGTGCACTGTCGCCACCTGGTGGAAATATCGGGGTAATGCAGTTGTTTGGGTGTTTGTTCTTTCTTAGTTTCAGAAACAATTGCCAGCATATAAAAATAGTGATTAAAGACACAAAACAGATACTCGGACTTACCAATACCAGAGTTGCCTCCTGTGATGAGGACCACTTTGTCAGAAAGGTCACGCCCCTGAAGAATTTCCAACGCAGCAGTGTTTCCATCATAACGCTTTGGCTTTATCATTACGTCCTCCACTGTAAACGCCTGCCGGGGGTCAAAATAGGTGGTCCGCTTGTTGATGTGACTGAAAGAGACAGAAATTCACAAGATTTTGTGAATCATGCAATACCTTTCATAAGTATTCATACTCACTAAATCACTTTACAATTCAAACTTTATCCTACTGCATTGGGGATATTAGATACAGTTCAAGGGAAATGACACATAGGTTTCATTTTGACAAAGAGGTTTTTTTTCCAACTTGTTTACTTACTCAACATAAATTTTCTGTCCTTTTTCATCAGTCTCCTGTTCCCAGCCATATGGTAAATCTGCAAAAGAAAAATTCATATAAGTTTGGTTACAGGATAATAAATATCAACATTTGTATACCCACTGTACCTTCTTAGCAGCTTATTACTGCACACAAATGCATAAGAATTCAACGCAATGTGAGCACTGACGCAACTTTATTTGACCTCATACATGTTCACAAAAATAATTTTCTTAACCTATGTTCTATAAATCAGTGGAACATGCTAGGTTGTTTGTAAAATATGGATTGGGAAACCACTGGGGGTCAGAAATCAATGTGTGAAATCTTTAGAAACCAAACTAAATCATGAACAATATTTCTGTTAACATATAAGCAATATGTTTGTATTATTATTAACTTGTAGCTTTAGTGAGAAGATGAACAATTTGGAAATCTAAGTATTAAATATATCGCTCCAGACAAACCTCCAGCACAACGTTTTTTCTTTCCTGTCTTAGGATGCTCCCACTGTGTCTTCATTTCTTCATGGCTGTTGGCACAAAGGGAACAATAAGGACCACATAACCCAGCATGCCACCTGACCTGTCTTGACAGTATTTAGTGTGACAATATATCACATGTAATGTGAATTAAAATGAGCTAAAAGAAGGCAGACTTCTTAAGCTGAAATGTTGAATGTTAACTCAATATTTCAAAAGTACTGTTATTTTTTTTTTTTAAGTACTTCAGAAACTGTTAAGAAATGCAAGGTTATTGTGGTGTAGAACAAATGAGGCTTAATGTGTCCTAAATTCAACTAATGAACAAATGATCTGCTGGGATAAAAAAAATGTCACCTGGTCGTAATGTTGCCTACACTAAAACCTCATCTTCAATCTTTGTCAGTAGGAGTCTGTCTCCATACAGCATTTTCACTCTGAAACATTCCTGGCCTCCAAAGATCTCCACATATATCACACAAGGTTTCTACCTTTCTTTAAGCTAAATTTAAGACTTTGCAAGATTTAAGTTTGAGATCTATACAAATAATTTAGAATAATATTCTAAACTGAATGTACTTGCTTAAGTTTTCACATTACATTGCCGTTTTAGACATGTAACTGTTACCCAACTAAATACCTACAGTAAACTGAAGACATACATTCATACTTTTATAGACTCTAAGTGAAAATCCCTCTTCTGACATCATTATTCTATTAATAAGGGTAATAAAATTTGACCCTTTTTTCCTCAATGGACTCAAAATATCTCTAAACAACTGAATTTATCTTTCTTATAAGCACAGGAAAAGTGTGGTAGTTCTCAAATCAAAGTATGATTAGTCTTATCTGTAGTCCCCTGATGATGACATCACAGATTTTCTGGCAGCTTTACAATGCAGTGAAAATTTGTATCAATTCCATTTGTATCTTTTTTTGTGGAAGATACTCTATGTTATATAAGAGCACATAAAACAAATCAAAATCTCTCACAAGAAAAACCTGACTGAATACAAAAAACAGTTTTCAAGTGATGATCACTTATTAAGTGAAAAAGTTACATCCAGACATTAAGGCCACCCCAAACTATGTGAGCTCCCTTCATTTTATGAAAGCTTAAATAGCTGCAGCTAAAGAAAATTGTTTATTTTAACACTAATTTACACATAACACTGACGCCTGAGTCCAGCAGGGATAGTCTGACAGCGCACATCCAGAGGTTCCCACTCACTTTGCATAGTAAACCCAACCGTCTTTGGTGGACCTCTCTTCCCATCCAGGCGGTAACTCGTCTTCACTGTCCGTATCGTCCATACCAGCGTATTTCAGAGCTGCCATTGCTCAAGCTTTCCACAGACACGGCGCTGTTTCGCGGACAAGCACAGTAACAGCTACAGAGGTAGCTGTTCTGGGAGATTAAAAACGCTATCAGAAAAATGCTCACCCGGCACTTCCGCAACAACATGCTGACGACAGCCGAAGTGCCTTCTGGGATATTGAGGAAATTAATCCGTCCCGTAAGCGTTGTAAAAAATACAATTTAATGCGGACGCAAATGTGTCAGAGAAGGCTTCAGTTTGTGAAAGGCAAACTAAAGCCTTTCAGTGGAGAAAGGTTTCCGTGGAGTTAAATTTGTTTCACAATTATTAAATTAAAAAAAACATATATATATATATATATATATATATATATATATATATATATATATATATATATATATATAAAAATTGTGATCAAAACTTTTAATAAACAGAAATAAGATCTTTATAACTAACTTTTTCACATTATAAGAAAAATTTGTGATGAAAAGGAGTCAAAGTTTTGATCACAATTTTTAGTTTTTTTATTTAACATTAAAAGTTTTGGTCACTATCTTATTTTATTTATTTATTATAATAGTTTTTTTGATTGAATGATTGTGACAGCTGAATGTAACCTCTAACCATGAAAGGATAAGCAGTATTGATGATAGATGAAAGGAATAATAGAATTTGTTTTTGCTTTCTTTATTATTTTTTCTGTTTGTTCTTGTTTTTTGTTTTGTTTTATTTTAAAATGCATTGGATCATACGATAAAAAAAATTAACTTTCAACAAGAATCATGAATGGTAAGCAAACAAAGATGAAGCAGTGAAGCTAATATCACCAGATTGCAATCCAATAAGATTGCAATCCAATCAAAATAAAACTGAAATAGGACATAAAAATCACTTTGCATGTAAGTAACATGATAATTTACAACTTTGAGTTTGGTAATTGTCTGATTGCCTCGCCCTGAACAGGACCTCGCCAGTTCCTTTGTATGCAAAACCAGCTCCATCTACCTGTTCCTGCTGCATTACCTGCCTGTTAACCACACTATTCTCCTGTCACGGGTGACCTGCCTGACTGGAAAGTTTACAATGTGAATTGAACATTTATTGAACTTGGAAGTTCCAAAAATTGGACTTGCAAATTCATTTATTGAACATCATCTTTACAAAAAAAGTGGAAAAGGAAATTCTGAATTATTTACATGATAATCTATAAAATAACATATTATTTGGTTACAGTGTATAGGTCCTGGCTGGGTCTCAGTGTGTTCAATTTTTGCATTCACAGCACACCCAAAAACACTTCAATTTAATTTATTGCTTATCTCTAATAGAAGCAGGGGGTTACAGACGTCTTTTTCATACTTTTTTAAATAAATATTTGATTGCCTGGAACTCAGCAAATATATAAAAAGCTAAGGAAATAATTGAGATTTTCACTGTTAATTTGATTTTCATGTATTTGCTAAATTAACGCATTCAAAGAATTATAAATTTTCATTTACTTACCTAGATTTCATACAATAACTTATTCAATATAAATGCTCGATTTTGTAAATATGATGGGAAGCTGTAGTTCTCTTATTGCAGCCACAGCGCATGCGCTACACACTTTGGGAGGCGGGGCTGCTCGATGGGCCGACCAACAGTAGTCAAGTGTGTGTTTGTGTGTGCTCGTTGGGCGAAACGTGTCTATCAGCAAAGACACACACACATTTGCAGATTACGGGATATTTTTCAGGAATTGGAAGTTTTACATTGGTTTCTCTGAAAAAGTTTCGATGCTATATTATGTACAGCGCGGAATTTGGCCTCTGAAGCGCAGGATTTATCCGACTCCGTTTCCACTGAAGACTCTCCGCTCCTCCTCCCCCTCGATGAAGCGCTGCGATGCCCTCTGATTTTATATCCCTCCTTACCTCGGATATTGACCTCAATTCCCCTAAATCTCTATACTCTAAAGGTAAGTTTTTAGTGGAGAAAGGCTTCCGTGGAGTCTCGGCTCCGATTGTGTGTATGTGAACGGCGGCCAAAATGAATGTCTTAACGGCTCATGTTAAGCTGCTAGCTAGCTGTGGCTAGCTTCTTTTCTGCTCTTAGCAAGACGAGCTAACACAGTTATCAGGTTGGTGGGCTGGAGAGCAACAACCTGTTTGCCACATGAGTAGAAAATCATTTTAATCTTCTGCGGTCGATTGAAATCATAAGATATCATCGTCATGCTAACATTTGGGTGCCAGCTAGTTGTTCGCATCACGATGGACTCATTTAAGAGCTAACGTAAAGCTACGTGAGGTCGATTTGCTGTTACTACATTGTTCAGCGGTTTAAGGTACTTAAGTCCTGCTCGGATTCTACACACCGTATATGTGTGTGCGTGCTGGTATGTACGTTCAACACTGAATGGACATTAAAGCTCTCCTGTGTATTCCTATAATTTCTGTTTAACGTGACAGACAGCCCCTCTTTTGTTTTGGTTTGCTCAGTGGAGCCGACCCAGAGTTATCCTCCTCCACATTCTCCAGTTTCAATGAAAGTATGAAGTCGATGGCCCCTCCAGGCTGCGTATAAAGCTGCCCGCTGGAGTTGAAATGTAATCTGCCTCTTAATGCTGGTGCACACGTGTCAGCCAACTGCTCTGTTATTATTAGGAGGGCGTAGCTGGACGATGAAGACCAACACTCTTCATCGTGTCTTTGTGTGATTAGCTTGGTATGTGGCTCACTGTCGGCATTTGGCTCAAGTTTTATTTCCAGGTCTGTGTTGTGTCAATCACCTCAAAACTTGCATCAAGAGAAATTATATGGATTAGTTTCTGGGAAATGGCTACTCTTGTGCTGTAGCATATTCAAAGTAAAGAACTGGATTATTTTTATCAGGAGGGAATTTTATTGAAATGAGCATATTTTGATCCCGAGATGATTGAAAGTCTTTTTGCTCTAATAGTTACTTAATATTTTAGCTTGCTAATTGACTGGTTTTTAAAGCAATAACTAAAGGTAGCTTTAATTTTCAACAAACACACAGGGGAATGTATTTATTTTATTTTTTTTTTAGCACAGGACATATTAAAATGTCAGATTTTTTTTCAACAGTGTGGTTAAAAGAGGCTAGCTAGTGGGAACAGTATTAAACAAATAGGCTCAAATCAAGAATGCAAATTTCAAGGCTTTACTAAATACCATACTGGATAAGCAGCGTTTGCCAGATTCTGAGTTGTGTTCTCAGCCGTTATTTGTCAGATACTTTTTTACATCTGAGGAATACAACTCGGAGACAATGGTCAGACATAGAGCCCCTTCAAGCTAAAAGGGTTTCGACCTTATATGTTTGAGCAAGATCTACTTAGACTATAATGGATGCTGACATGGATCCCGGGGCTGGAATAAACCGTACTTCATTCTGTAAAAGCATCTTGTCTGAGTGATGTTTACAGAATGTCGATGTTGTTTTGTCATAAGTGTACATTTCATCCTGTTAAACATAATGATCCAAGACAAAAAAAATAGTTGAGACTCAGACATTTAGTTTTATAAAGGGGGGATTATATATAACTCGAGTTTGCTTTCTAAAGCAAAGTCTGGCAGTCTCTCTCTGTTTGACAGGAAAGAGTTGAAGTCAACCCGCTGCTGTTGCAACCAAGGTAGTGGCTTGCCACAACAGTCGATTTATACCTGAGGGAAGGTTGGTTTGGCAGCTTGAGTTTGTGGTGTAGTGAATGACATATATCCTGCACAAGGAATCGAAAATATGCCAGGATCACTCTGGTGCAACATCTGAGGAGAGATGCTTCTCTACATTAAATTTTATTGGGTGGGGTGTGCTGAGACGGAACAGGTCACTGGACTTGGAGGAGGGTGGCGTGAACTGTTAAAATAAAAGTGACAGAATGTTTTTTGACATGGCCTATTATTAACAGAAAATGTTTGACACAAAATTGAAAACATAGCGCCTTACATAAACCTCTCCCCACCTCCTTTGGCTTGTGTAATGTCTTTTATTTATAAAAATGAACATATTTGTAATATTTAATCAACTTACTAGGTGATTTATAATCAGTCAGAAGCATTTTAAAGATGTCTTTATAACCACATGGTTGAGATGAGGTCTCTGCTTTTGAATCACACTGTGATTTTACACTTCAATCCCAGTTAGATATTAGTGAAGAATATCAGACTGTTATTCTAAAGAGGCTTTGATGTTAATTTATTATCTAAAGACTGCCACACTACTGCCTTTCCTGTCTGTTGATTATTAAAGTAGGACCACTGCTTTATAGCATCATGACTTATAAATATAAAAGCAATGAGGAGATTGGCAACTACTTTCTCTGCATCTGCGCCGCACTTAGTTTTTGAATTGAACAAACTGGTTTGACAAATAACCCGAGATATTGGTTGATCATAAAGGGGGAAGGAAGAGCCAAGATGTGAATGTCGGTAATGGTGTCTCACAAAATGACAAAACTGGTTTGCAGGAACAATCTATAAATAAAGGCTATGATAATAGTGTGAAGTATTTGCAAAAAGTTGTCTATTGAGTCTCTCAAGATTTGTGGTTTTAGCAACTAGTTTAGCCTCTAGTTCTTAAATATTGTTTTGCAATTCCACACATTGAAGGACTTAAACATTTATATGATCAACATTTCAAATTAACTTAACAAAAGCTTATTACTGACTCAATCTAAGTAAGATTTGGGCATGTGCAAGCAACAATAATTGAAGAAAACTTTAAAATGAGCGAATAAAAGAGCTCATTTGTGTGTTTTTCAGCAAGACTTTCAAATTTGCTTTTTTGTTTCATGTTTAATGTTGAATTGTGAAATCACAAGGCCTGATCACAGTAATGTTTTGTTCTTTTATTCATTCAGTAATGTTGCGGTTTTTCTTGTGTGCACAAAATCTCCACTCTCAGTCTGAATGCCAGACTTTCAGTCGCTAGACTGGTGTTTTTAACTGCCATCCAGTTAAAAAAGCCACTAAAAATATCTTCAGTGCATCTTCTGTCAGATAAGATCATTATTTTTAGTACAATGCTGTTTAGTTTTTAACATTTGTGTGTTCTTACACAATGCTTTGCCTGTATATGTTCTTCATGTAATTTTCAGACTGAAAACTGCTGAACTTTAATCTGTTTTTCATATTTTCCTGCAAATCTCTTTGCTGATTTGTTGGACTTATTCATTCAACGTTAAACATTCACCATCACAGTGAATGTTCTCACCCCATAAAACCATTACAGCTTCCACAAACTGTCTCCTCTGCTCATCTCTGAAATAACGGGATGCCCCTTTGTAAAACTGCTGCTTCCAATAAAGTCAAGTAGTTCTATTGTCTTGTCTTTTACTGATATTTCAGAAAGCAGTCAACATTTTTGTCCCCTATGAAATAAACCTGCTTTCATTAACCCCCACTGATGGTTAAGAGCTGCTATCTTAAGCCTACCCCAGATTTTGTCATCACTTAAAACCTTGGTGTTGTTACCCAACAAAACTTGAACCTGCCTGCTGGTGCCACATCTGTCCTGGCTTCCATGAGCCAACAGAAAGCTCTGTGACCCTGAAATGTTTAGGTGAGACTGCCATATGGTCACACTCCACAACATAACTGTTTATTTATATCTCAGTAACTGGGTGAGTATCAGAGTGGGAGTACGTGTTGGAATCGAGGTAGCAGAAGTGCTTATCCGAAATATCTAGAGAGAGGCTTTGTGTATGTGTAGGGAAGACAGCTGGCTACACATTCCATTTAGTACTAGGTTTCTCTGGATCTGCTTGGTATTAACATTTTTTTTTAAATTATTATTATTTGTTATGTTTCTCCTGGCTCAAAGTGAGACGAATGACGAAAAATCACATTCAAAACCAGTGAAGAAGCAAACATGTTTGAAATTCTCTCCAATTTGTGGACTGCAGTTTCTCCTGCCTTTAAAGCAGTTTCACGTTTCCATTTATAGAATACCTACCTCACAAATCAATGTGGCCCCATACTGGTTTTGGCACATGTAAACCAGCTCATGTGTGGCTTTACTTTTCTAAATTATGGAGATAATTACTTCTGAAAATGCTTAAATCTCACATTTTATTTTATGACTGTTTATTTTCTCTGGCAGTGAGTCTGATCTCTGCTTGGACCAGTTGACTGTTGAGAAATGAGAGATTGTAGACACTGATCAAAGCAAAGTATGTGTCCGTATTACATATTGTAGTCACATAAGCCAATTTCCTCACAATAGACCAAGTATAACGTATAGAAACTACTTTAAATTCCTGTTTGTTTCTAAACGTAGAGGTTATCAGTCTGAGAACCCACAACTGGATTTTTGCAGCAGTTAGGCATTACTAGTCTGTCTTGGTGGTAGTTAGGAGTGGGGTTTGTTGACTATTCAGAGAAAATAAAAGCGTTTCTCAGATGGGAAACGCTTTTATTTGCAACTAAAACATAGCCTTTTGTAGGAATCTAAGAAATTACAATTTCAAACAATAGAGGATTAAACCTAAAACTGCAGAGTGAATAAAAGGAAGTATGTGAAGTAATTGGAGATGAAATTGTTTCCCGTTGTCACAAGAGTAAAACTGGTTTGTTTTCATTGAGTCTTTTGGTTACAGCTCAGCTTATATAGTTAGTTATTTTAATTTTATTTGTAGACAAAAATGGGCTTAATAGCTGTACTTTATTGTTTGTTTAAAAGCAAAAAGAAAAAAAAGCGAATAGTTAAAAAAAAATGCATTCTTTGTAGCTTTTTTTTAATGAGTGCATTGTTTTTTTGCCCCCTGACTTACACTTTTGTTTTGCAAGGCAATCATAACTCTGCACTAAAGTAAGTTCTTGCTATTTGTGTTTTTATTTTTATTTTTTTAATTTGCAACTAAAACATAGCCTTTTGGTTCGTCCTTTCATGTAAGTTCTCCCTGACATAGCCGCAATCCTGCTGCAAAGAATAGAAACCGACTGATGTCCTTGTATCTTGGCAGAACCTCTGAGGCATGCGTAATGTGAGCAGCACATAACTATGAGATGACATAATTTAATTGTTCTCGGTGTAGGTTGAAGTCAAACCTCCGCCTGGGTGACTTTTCTGTTGCAGAGTATTGTTTTGACTGATCTCAATTTAAACTTTACGAGACGGCATTTTTATTTTCTCTTTTGCAAATTAGGCAACCACTGCAAATTCATTTGAGGAACGTCACCTTTATTTTGGTTTCATTAGAAATATTGTAGAGAACTGATTTTTAGCACTTTGTGCTGTCACCTCAACGTGACATTTAAATCCACTGTTTTAATGTAAATAAAGTCTTAATAACAGGAGGTTCAGAGATTAGGTCAAAAGAGGATTAGATTAAAGTTTTTAAACCTATTACATCCAGTATCTATGCTCTCCATCTCTATAAAGCTGCTATGGTTCAACAGTTTACAGACTTTTGTTTGGATTAAACAATGTTTGAAGATGCTACCACTGGTCACCTGATTTAAGTATTGTTATTTATGGACATAAGCAACCCAATCTGTGATGGTAAACCTCTCTTTGCAGTTTGTCGGTGTGTGCAAGTAGAATTTTGCATATTGTTCTCCATCTGTTATGGCCCGTTCTGTATTTATTACAAGCAGTGTTTGTATGTCAAATAGCAATGTTCAAATAGCAATGATTGGATAGAAACGCGATGTGATTTGAGGTTTTTCAATTGAGCTCATTCAATCATAAACCTAAATGTTGTTTTGCATGCAAAACGTCCCCCAAACCTGCAGGAACTACCACAAGGATGCCATCATTTCCTCTCAAGACATCTAATGCTTGAAAAGAAAAAATCTATAATGTGCTGCAGTATAGTTAAAATATATCTGAACTAAATGATTAGATTGACTCGTATATTCACTTTTTGAATAATAATGATGTTAAATTTTATATTTAACTGATTTTGAGCATTTTTGGCTTGAAGTTTCTTTGTTATGCCTAATGCTTTACCTACACTAATCCCAATTGGAATAAATTAATAAGCCTGTTTTGTATTCATTCCTAATCACACAGGTCTGGCAATAAAATAAAATAGTGATGTACTTGTGAGCAGAGGACCGGCTTGAACCCAGCGTGGAGTCATTTTGATCAAGTCAATCCAATAACCATGAACCTCCTCCTACAATGGATCACAGCATAAACAGCCATTCTGGTCCCTCTCATGTGATGTCCCTCTGTTGTTCCACAGAAGTATATCGAGTTCCTGCTATTGCACATGTTCTGTGTTACAATGAAGATTTTTGTTCCTCTGGCTGCTGCTGCAGCAAACAAATAGCTTCTGTGCATGTTTGAACACACATACAATAGACTTCAGCTTCTCTGTGCCAACGATTATAGTTTAGACTGAGGTCATGTCGGATTGGCAGTTAATCTGCAATGAATGCAGAAACAAATAAAGCTTTTAGTCATTTAAAAAATCATTTTATACAGTCATAATATGTTTAAACTAGTTTCACTCATTAAATTTCATTTATTTGTACTGGTCGGAGATTTATCAAGATTTGTTAATTATCCCCAATAAACATTCATAAAAATGATCTGGATTTCTGGCTTTCAAGCTAAGTGGTCGTCTCACGATCCTCTTCCTGTCCTGTAAAAATGGGGTTTACCTATTAGAGCCCAAGCATTAGCAGGCGAGCTTGATAAAACATGGCGTTCATTTTTAAAACATCCATATTTTCCTGCGTCTGAACTGTGTGGATCTTTGTGGGAACATGGCTGGTGATGCGTCCGTCATTTACGTCACAGAAGTGTGAGATCAAGTCTCCTGTCAGCGTTAAGACGCTGCCGGTGCCAAGTGTCAGATGACTACTACACATGTTGCCCGCTCCCAACGCGCGGTTGAAATATCAGTCACAGTGTTGATAGGTGCCTGTTTCTTAGCAACCGAATTGCCGACTGATGTGTTTATCAGCCAGCAAATGTAGTTTAATCCCATGTTATTGCAGAGGTTGGACATTTCAACTAGAAATTATACTCGAATCAAATATCATTGTGTTTCTTCTGCTGTTGTTGCACTGCAGGAGGCGAGCTTGGTTTATCAGTGTTGTGTTAGTGTTATCTGTAGGGTTTCTATTTCAGTAATAGATCCACAGAGTTCTCTCAGTTTGCAGTACAGAAAAGTGTGGCGTATGATTCAAGTGTTTTCAGGTATGGATAAAGTGTATGGAAAAATGTTTACATTTCCAGACTTATTCCCCAAAGTTCTGTCCATCCAGTCTTTTGTGCATTTGTTTTTCCATCTGTCTCTGTCCCTCGGTTTGTCCACCCACCCATCCAGTCGCCTGTCTATCCAAATATGGCAAGTTCCATATTTAAAGAAAATAACGCATTTGAAATTCATGCCACAAATTATTCTAATTATTTGGCTTTTGTAAAAAAAAATAAATAAATAAAAAATTAAAAATGTTTTAAAGTGTGAACTTTAAAAAAAAAATTGCAAACATATTTTTTGTGAAAATTGTTTTCAATTATCTTCTTGGTCTTAAATGGTCTTAACCCAAGCCGGCAGTGCATCCATCACCTGAGAGTGCAGCCTTATCGTCTCCAGTTACACCGTCCATAATGGACATTCTGATGCATGTTTTTCTTTCCACTGAACTAATGCATGTTCTCCTGCTCACCCTTTATGGCAGAGTCAGTATATGACCTCCTCCCCAAAGAGCTCCAGCTTCAGCCGTCGTCCACCCAGACAGACCCACCCACCATGAGCCAGAAGAGCGGGGGAGAGGCGGGACCTCCCCCCCCTGCAACGTTGGCCTCAGGTGAGATATCCATCCAGCCAATGAAAAACCCTGATCTGGAATCGGTTTTCCTGTTCCAATCTACTCCCTAAGTCAGCAGAGGCGAATTATGGCCTTGTGATTGTCTGGGGGGCAACTTCACCCTTTCATTTAAGGCCAAATTAGTTGTGAATAAACCTCTATGTTTTAGTGAAGTATTTATATTTTTAATATGTTTCGTGGTGATGTAGCATCACAAGGTAGTACTTAAGATTTATTCTTATTAATATTATCCAGTTAAATTAGAAAATATCTGAAACAATTGTCTTTTAAATTCATCACCTAGGCCTGTTGGGGTTTTTTTGTTTTTTGCTGCTCCACCAGCCTATTACTGTAACTAAACTGTGACATTCTGGGTTTTCTAGCAAAAGACAGAATGTCATGAATTAGTTTTTGGGATGCTGTTTAAAGTCAGAATTTTGGTATTTTGGTTAGATGATGAAGCTGTTATGACATTTAAAACCAAGTTGACACTTATTCCATAATGCCCGCTATTAAAACCGTTGGAAAGTTATTTCTCCTATAAAAGCTGCTTTCCTTGATTGGTTTATATCTCAGATCTATGGCCGCATTCGTCTTGAATAGAGTTGATGCATGGCACTGCCTTAGCAGCAGCATGGGAAATACTTAGCTTTTGAAGCAGCTGGATTTGCTTTGGATTTACCAAATCATAATGCAACTAAAGTAATCCATCTTGCCAGACTCGGAGGTCTTGTATATTTGTTCCTGAAACTCAAAGGTTTGAGCCCAGAGAAATTATGAACTGGCACCTAGAGGGGGTTTTAACAATCAACACACTACTTCCAGTGGATAGAAAAAAAACTATCTACAGATCTCTGTTAACATGATTCAGGATTTGTGATGTAAAAACTGAGACTCAGAGATTATTTCATATCTTTTTCCACCATTAACAATTTGTAACCGGTACAACTCAATTGAAATCTTCTTTATTTGTTGGGGGAGTAAAATAAGATGCTTGTATAAGTGTGCACACCCTCAAATATTTTTTCGAAGCCTCTTGATTTTATTACACTGTTTTTGGGTGGGAGTGTATCAGCATGGTACATTCTGACATACTCCTTGCAAACACTTTTCAGACATGCCGGATTGTCGGGCATCTGCAGATCCAGAGTCGCTTTAGGGACAGAGCCTTTCCAAAACGTTGCTCTAACTCCTTAGAATCCTTTCTTTCGATGGTTTGGATGTTTCCTTTTGGTTAAAAGACAATGTTTCTCTTCATCCTAAGCCTTCTAACAGAAACCAGAAGGTTTTGTGCCAGCAATTCTGAAGAGAACCAGACACAAACCACAATGCTGCCACTACCATGTTTCACTGTTTACATAGTGTTGTTTTGGGAGACTTCATAATTTGTGTTTACAGATTTTGGCCAAAAGTTTATGAATTTTGTTTCAAAAAAAATTCCAGCTTGCCACCCCAGGTCCCAAACACATAAAGAATACAGGAGATGTAGTATTAGTACTGCTACAAGCCAGAGAAGCCAAGAGAAACATTGGTTAATTGTAAGGAGAGACACACATTTGGTTATAAGAGGATGTGCACAGTCATGCGACCATATTATTTGGGTTTTGTTTTATATGACTCCTGACTGCTTTTATTTATTACTGGTTGTATCCAATGTAATATCTCTAATTGGTTAAACTTCACAATTTGAGATCTTCACTGAAATATCTTATTCAGTCACCTGAATGCTTGGCTCTTTCAAAAAATTCACATAATAGTAAATGGTAATGATATATTTGGGCTTCCTTAAGAAGTATGTTGTAAGTTCTCCTCTGTTTACCGGAAATTGAAGAATAGATAAAGATCATTGAGTTTCCTTTTAGACAGAAATCAAATCTATTTATTTACATCAGTTATAAAATGCAAGTCTCAGTGACTAATTTACTGCGACTGCTGTTAAGAATAAATTATAGCAGGTCCTGTGAATCATTCCAATTGATGCTTACTTTAAACATGGTAACATTTGGAATTAGATGGGGGTTTTTTTTACCATTTCCCTGACTTTTTCTACATTTTAATGCTTCTACTTTTGATTTTGTTATGTTGTTGCTCAAAGCTCTATAAACAGTTGGAAGACATAAACATAGCACAAATGGTAATGAAATGTCTGTTTAGTTTATGATTTCTTTGTTGTAAAATGCTTCTTGGCAATACATAATAACCACTGGAAGCCTGTTCATGTCCGAGAATACAAAATGACTTTGTGGAACTGAGGGTCAGTATCTCTCACTAATAAAATAAAACTTGTCATTGTCGGGCTAATGCCATACAGAGTTAACCAGGTGAGATTTGGTCATCCCACATGTCCACTGATAAGCGCCAAGCACTTTTGTGCTCCACGTTGATGACACTGGGATGGATGACCTGTCTTTAGGTCAACCATCTATTGAACACCTGTTGGATCTGCTTGGGCGAACTGGTTCTGCCAGAGTGACCAACAGAAACACATTAGTTGTTTTGTTTTTAAGCCATATGCTGGCTAAGGAATGGGATGGTGTCTAACATCAGTGTGTGACCAGAATGTAAACATGGTGCCAGGCTATTGGGCTTCTTCTAGATATCACTGCATCAACTCTTTGTTAAAGGAATGACTTGTTAAATTGTGTATTGTTTTTTTCAAACCCAATTTTGACATCAAACGATAGTTCAAGTGGAATAAGCAGTTTAATTTTATCAAAGAGAGATTGAGAAATCTTTCAAGAGTTTATTGACATACTTAACTCTACTGCTCAAAAAAAGCCATTTAAAAGGACATAAACAGGTTTTCCAGCATTGTAAGATTTTTTTTTTTTACCAAGAATCATAACAAAGAGCTTTTAGTGCTAAGCATACATTTGATGCCTTAGCATTCATTAAAGAAACCCTCTGCTCCTGTATATTTTTATTTAATTTTATTTGAATGAAACTATATCCTTTCTTTTAAATTACCCACTTTTCCTCCCAACTTTTTGAATAAACATAAAGGTGTTTTCTTCTGGTGAAACCGTCAAGTTGCCCCTTGGCAGTCACTCGTTTTGCATTTTTACAGAATAAAAACAGTCTGATCTTAAGTCATGGTTTAGGGCTGCCAACATTTCCTGCAGCTGCGAGGGATCTTCTAACAGTCTGACGTAAAAAGCAAACTAACTGTGTCAGCAGTCGTGTCGGAGGGAGCGCTTTTTGTGCTAATGCTACCTTATCACTGTCCTGTCTGGCCTAGCTGGCCCTAAGCAGCGCTGATCAAAAGCATGACTGCTGTAATGTCTCACAGATCATCATTAATAAAGTGCACATGCTTTTCAGTGTCTATAAACGGTCAACTTCCAAAGCTACTCCTTCCTTCAGTGTATTCACTCATCCAATTTAGTGATTGACAGAAGATGAGTCTTGAATGATCAGCTCTCTTGTTGCTCATTGGCTGTCTCGTTTTTATTGCAGGAAGTTCCCTCTGAGGCAGGGAGTGTCTGCATATAAAATGGTCTGCAGTTCACTGCTCCATAGGTCAGAGGCTTGTTTATTCTGTCTCCATGGCTACGCTCAGTCCCAACCAAATCTTCCAATTGGCATGCACAAACTACTGTTTTTTCTACTTGAATGCACATTGCACAAACTGTGATGTAACCCTGGCAATTCTTTTTTTTTTTTTTTTACTTTTTTAATTTGGCGCCACATTTATCCAGCTTGCAAAATTTGGCTGTACAAGAAAGTTTGACCAGGTTTTGTTCTGTTTCTTTCTGGCAATGTGTATGTAACAATTTGTAGCTTGCTTTTGTTTTTGTAAACAAAGCATGTCAGTTTTGTCACATTGATTTTTTTTAATTGGGAAGGTTTTTTTTTTTTTTTTTTTTTTTTTTTACAGGAATCAAACAAATAAAGAAAATGAAAAACATTGTGGGATCAATAGTACCCTTCTCAACTTTAACTTCAGATTATTTGATCAATGCTTGGCAGCTCTCGCATGCACAGTGAGAGTGTAAAACCGACAAACGGTCTGTTGAAATTAGAGTTGGGAAGAGGGGAAATCAGAACAAATCATGCACAAATTCAGCTGCTTGAATGGGACTGCTAGCCTGCTCTGTGCTGGACATCTGTGCTAACTTGATCTGTGTGTGCTACCGCAGATGCCACCTCTTCCACCTCCAGCCCCTCTGCCTCTTCCTCCCTGGCCATGGGCCTCTCTACCTCTCCCTCAGACCACCTCACGGTCTCTCAGCACCTCCACTCCACGGGAGCGGACGGGCCCGGAGCGTCAGAGATGCAAGGCATGGAGGCGGCCGGATCGGCGCCCAGCAGAGGCGGCGGCGGAGCGAACCCCACAGGCGGAGACGGAGGGACTAGCGTGCTGTCGGGGCTGGGCGTGCAGCAGCTGCAGAACACGCCGTCAAAACGGAGGCCCGTGTTGAGCATATCGCCGCCACCCGAAGATCTGTTTGACGACAGCCAAATGTCGTGCCAAGAGGAACCCGTCGTCGCCGCGGCGGCGTGTCCGGACTCGGAGCACAGCAGCAGCATGTGGGCCGACGACTCCGTGTCCAACTTCAGCATTATCAGCTCCGTCTCGTACAATGACAACACGGAAGTGCCGCGGAAATCCAGGAAACGGACCCCCCGCCAGCGACCGGGCCCCAAGCCGACCCCTCCGGAGGACAGCATGGACGTGTTTGATGCGGACAGCGCCAAGGGTCCTCACTTTGTCCTCTCCCAGCTGAGCACAGACAAGACCAGCTCAATTGCAAGGTGTGGACTGTCTTCAAACCTTATTTCTCCATTTGTAATGATGACTTTAGCTTTGCAGTACAATAGAAGCTATTTCTTTTTCTTTCTGTTCTGCAGCAATTGAATCTGTGCTTTTATCCTGCAGCTCTCTCGATTCAGGAACTGCAGTGAAAGGTGGCTCACTGTCTGCCCAGTTTCCTCAGAGGAGTGACGGGAAGGAGCTGAAGATCCTGGTGCAGCCAGAGACCCAGCACCGAGCCCGGTACCTGACGGAGGGCAGCAGAGGTTCTGTTAAAGATCGCACACAGCAAGGATTCCCCACTGTCAAGGTCTGATCCCAAACATCCTCAGCTAAGTGTTAAACCAGAAAGGTTTTGAAAAATGCTTAAACTATTATTCTGAATCACTACTCATGACCATCCTGATGGTAATTCTGTATTTCGGCCATTTGTTTCTGTTAATAATGATGGTTATTGTTTACAGTTTATCACAGTTTTATTTCTCAGGAAAATAAAATGTTAAGACTACAAAAGATAATTGCTAAAAAAGTTGACAGACAATGGATCACAGTTTTTGAATGTGTATAGTCCCGGTTTCACTTCAGTATTAAAATACTGAAATACTTTTCAGTGATATTGTTAATTAGTAATGCACTTGTAATATTGATAAAATTATTCTAAAAGTTAGGTCTGTATGCATAAAGAATAGATCAATCTGGAAACCAAACAATAACATTCAAAATTTTGCAGCTACAACTTTCTTTTTAATAGAAAACATAGGAGTGTCATCGGAGGAGATCCCAGGTTAGGAAGCACAGGAAAAATGTAAAATGTTGCCCTCAAAAACAAATTGTCTCTTTAGTTTTTTTTAAGGGCTTACATTTGTCTTTGGGCTCCATAAGTGACTCTAATGCCAAAATAATCGAGTTGGTAAAATGTGGATGGGATCATTTAAAAAATGGCTTAAAGAATAAAGTCCTCAGACTTTTGTTATTCAGTTTACTTTTCTTTTATATATTCAAATCTAAATCAAACGTCATGGAATACGTAAGAACCTGCTGAAGCTTGATGTATCCATTCGCTTATTTTCTCTTCTTTTTTATTTTTTATGCTCTGTCCACAGTTGGAAGGCATAAGCGAACCAGTGGTTCTTCAGGTGTTTGTTGCCAACGATGCGGGCAGAGTGAAGCCTCACGGTTTTTATCAGGCGTGTCGGGTAACGGGACGCAACACCACTGCCTGTAAAGAGGTGGACATAGACGGCACAACGGTTATAGAGATCCCTCTGGAACCCAGCAATGACATGACACTAGCGTAAGAAAAGATGGTTTTATTTCACACCGAGGCTCATAATGTTTGTGCGAAGTACGCAGGGCTTATTTCTCCTCTTCGTGCTGCGTCTGCAGTGTGGACTGTGTGGGGATTTTGAAGCTGCGTAACGCAGACGTGGAGGCACGAATCGGTGTGGCGGGATCCAAGAAGAAAAGTACACGAGCCAGGCTGGCCTTCAGGGTCAACATCCCCCAACCCGATGGCTCAGTGCTCACCTTGCAGGTCCCCTCATCACCCATCCTCTGCAGTAAGTTGCCAGGCTTTTTTGTTTTGTTTTTTGTTTTTTGTTTTGGGCCCAAAAAATTTTTTTTTGATTAACTTAGGAATATCATCCTAAAATCTTTGACTCTGTCTCCATCCAGCCCAGCCAGCTGGACTCCCAGAGATCCTGAAGAAGAGTCTCCACAGCGGCTCAGTGAAAGGAGGCGAAGAGGTTTTTATAATTGGGAAGAACTTCCTCAAAGGAACTAAAGTCATATTTCAGGAGAACATTGCAGGTACTAAGGACCGTTTATTGGTGTTTCCAGGTCTCGTTTTTCCATTTCTGATCTTTTCTGTTTGCATTTTTAATGAGTGACGAAAAATGAAAAACAGTATTTTCTCTCGACTCCATAGACGACAATTCCTGGCAAGCTGAAGCGAAGATTGATACGGACCTTTTTCATCAGGTACATGCAGACTGATAATCCTAGATATAGTGCCTTGCAAAAGTGTTCGTATGCTTGCATTGCAACCACAAACTTCAATGTTTGATGGAAATTTATGTGATAAACCAGCAAAAGGTATCATAAACTTGTGTATTCACCCCGTCTATGTCAGTAATCCTAAATGATCCTGGAAGAAATCTCCCACAAAAAATGCATCAACAATTGTCCCAACACTTTACAATTATGTGCTACTTTGTGTTGGTCTGTCACATGAAATCCCAACATTGAAGTTTGTGGTTGAATGTACCACAATCAGAAATATGCGTGGAGCATGAAAACCCTGCAGGACACAGAATGTTTAAATGTTTGTACCACTCATGTCTGCCTGTCTCTAATGTAGCTGACCTTGTATTCCAGAACCATTTGGTGGTGACCGTCCCTCCATTCCACAGCCAGTCCATCACCTCTCCTGTGTCTGTGGGGATTTTTGTGATGACCAATGCTGGTCGATCACACGAGGCTCAGGCTTTCACCTACACTCCAGAATCAGGTAGAACAACTACAAAGCCATGCAGTTGCCTTTCGTATGCTCATATAGTTCATCTTCTCACCTGTCTCTATTCTATTTAATTATTTTTGTAAGATGTGTGGCATGACTTCAACCTAAATATGATCAAAACAATGTCAATGCCACTAAGCGAAAAAAGAGAAATAACGACCCGGGGCCACGTTGCTGTGTTTTCACTCCGTTTCTGTTCATTGCTTGTATCTAATAATAGCCATGGGAGTAATTTAATTACACCTTCAAATATGAATTGGCACCTAAACCCTTGGGGTGTGCCAGAATTATGTCCATAAAACCTTACAAAACTGTTTTTAGGCAGATTTCTTTTACTATCAGGCTTTAACAAAGACATACTTTTTCTTCCACTTAAGTGCAGCCAAGAAATGCCACGGCTGATCACTTGACAAGAATGAATAAATATTTCATTATCAACAACAACAACATTCGACTCAGACTGCAAGCCAAAAGCTAAATGAACATTGGAGCTGTGTGTGTCAAGTATTTAAAAATGGAAAGGAAAAACATGAATTAGTGATGCACAAATCACAACGCATGAGTCTTGCATAAAAGTATAAAACAGTTCTGTTTGAAAGATGTGGTTCTGTGGTTGTCTGAATTAATATTATTGATTGTTTTATCTCCACCAGAGATAAAACAATCAAGAAATGGGAGAAAAAAAATTTCTTACAGTAGCAAAGTGCATAAAGATGCCATTTAGAGTTCATGCATTGATAACTTACTATCTCCTGTGTAACAAGCAAAGGAAAACAGTCGGGTACAGTAATTTGCAACGGGCAGAAGAATTGCCTTCAAGAAGTCTGCTTTAAAAAAAAAAAGAGCAGTCTGATATACTGAGTAACACAAAAGAAATGAGAGCTGTAGCAAGACCTGAGACGTTTACCCGAGATTAAATTAGATCATGTATATTTTATAAGTTAGATCGCTGAGGCTTACTCCCTTACCCTAGATTTAAACCTTCCTTCTGGGATAAATGATAATACAGCTTTTGGCTTGAGGTTATGGAACAGCTGCAGGGGAATGGACAGAGAGAGCAGAGACTAACAGGCAATGATAAAGAGAAGCATATGTGAAGGTGAGAGGGGGAGGGTGAAGGTAGTGTGTTAGATGTTAGTGAGCTGTTCTCACCTCCACAGGACCGGCGGTTTTCATATTGCTGCAGAGCAGAATCTGTTCAGATGCTTTACAACAAAAATAAAAGGACAAACTCTTAATCTGGCTCCACAAATCATTTTAAATTAGTTCACAATGAGCTAATCATGATACAAGTGATTAAACAGCATTTTATAGGAACTGGTCATAAGATGGGTAGATGCTTTCTATGGTTGTCTACTGTCACGCATGTGTTGCTGTCTGATGGAGAAGTTTGAAGGGGAGGCTAAACTAAGCTCAAATTTTACAATTAAACATGTAAAAAGTGTGGAGTGCTTATTTTTTTAATTAGCTGTATTTATGCTGAGATTAATTTACACACACAATTCACCACAATTTTATTTAGAAGCATCCAACTGAAAAAATACTAAGTAATACTTTTGAAATTTTTATTTTATTTTATACATTTTTATTTTAATTACAGAAAAACACTTTTCAGTTACGCCTTGGTGTCGGTCTGTCACATAAAATAAACAATAAAATGAACTGAATGTGTGATGGTGTCAGGAGATTGAAAACTTCCTCTAAGCTCTGTTTTCACTCCTCGGCAGATAATTCAAGCGGCCAGACGGTCAAAACAGAAGGAACGTCGCTGGTCAACACCTGCATCTTTGACGGTCAGATCAAATCCGTGTCCTCGGAGCAGAGCGACTGCTCTGGCCAGCCTTCCAAGCGGCAGGAGGACACACCCATGGAGGTCTCCAGCAACCCTCAACCCACAGATGTTTTCAAAGTAAGACATTTTTCTGTTTAAACTTTTATCTTATCTCCATCAGTTGGTGATAACTTTCTCCGCGCTCCCTCCACTTAGCCGTCCCCGGACCCTCTGATCTCAGTGCAGCAGACTCTGGAGCTAAACTCAAGCCCTCATCCAGGAGGGGAAGCTTTCGAGAGCCCGATGCCCCTGCAGCCTGAAGACGTTGAGCTTCCCCAGGCGCCCCCCGTCTTTCCCAGCCTGGAGTCTCTCAGCACCATCCAAAAGCAAGAGATCTCTTCTGCCACATCCTTTCCCGTGTCGGGGGACACCACCATCCCCCCGGTGACGCCAGAAGTCCCCCAGCAGTTCCTCAGAGACCCTCAAGAAAGCCTTTCTCCGGAGAGCTCCGATAACAGCGGGACCATAATGGTCGTAGCCATGCCTCAGATGGCGGCTCCTGCTCAGCCGCCACCGCAGCAGACGCAGGTCCCCCTGTTTCCCCAGGAAGGAGTGGCCCAGTTGGAGCGGGCAGTAAGGGAGCTGCAGGCTGGAGGGACCACCACCCTGGAGCAGGTGCTGGAGGTGGCGGTGGCGCAGCAACAGCTCAACTCCGTGCTCTACAACCCGACAGCGTCGGCAGAGTCCTTACAGCAGCATGTCCAGGAGAACATGAACAGCCTGCGGTTGGGCAACTCCGATAGCTCCCTGTCGGCACAGCAACAGATACAAATGCAGCAACAGCAGCAGCAGCAACAGATACAAATGCAGCAACAGCAGCAGCAGCAACAGATACAAATGCAGCAGCATCAGCAACAAATACAGCAGCAGTTCCAGCAACAGCAACAAATCCTTGAAAACCTGCAGCAACATCAGCAGCAGCAGCAACAACAGCAGCAGCTGCAGCAGCAGGTTCTCAACAACATGCAGATCCAGCAGCAGCTCATGCTGCAGCCTCAAGACCAACAGCAGCTGCAGCAGCAGCAGATGATGGAGAATATCCAGCAGCAGCAGCTGCAGCAAAATCAGCAACAACAAGTCCTGAACAACATCCAACTCCAGGATCAGCAGCAGCAGAACCAGATCCTGAGCAATCTGCAGCAGCAGGAGCAGCAGGTCCTGGAAAAACTGCAGCAGCAGCTACAAGCCGAGCTGCTGCAGCCCCAGATTCACTCCTCCCCCCAGGCGCAGCAGCCCGTCTCCCTGCTGCAGCAGGCGGGAGAGCTGCTCACCATCCAGACCAGCTTCCCGACGCCGCCGCCATCCCACACGTCTCCGCCACAGCAACTCTTCCAGTCGCCGCAGCCGCTGGCCGAGACCCAGAACTCCCAGCAGCAGGTGCAGGCCGCCCTGCTCCAGAACACGCTGACCGTCCTCTCCGGCGGCGGCCTCGGGTCCGAGCAGCAGCCCACGGGCTCGACCATATTTCTGTCCACCAACCCTCAGCCGCAGCAGGCACCGCAGCAGCCCCAGCTGGCCTTCATCTCTTCCATGGAGACGTCATCCAGCCAGCCCCAGCCCGTTTCCATGTTCCAGAACCAGCCTCCGACCCAGCTGTCCCAGCCAATGGAGCAGCAGCAATCCCCGCAGCAAAACCAGCAGCCGCCACAGCAGCTCCCGCTGGGCCAGCAGGGCACCTTGTTCCAGAGCATCCCAAACCACTCGCAGGCCAACGCCGTCCCCCAGAACCAGATCTCTCAGCCCCAGCAGACGGGCCTGCTCCTCTGTACTTCAGATCTGCTGTTTACCACCCCGGCTCAAGCCGCGCCCCCCATCGCAGGCATTGGCGTTGGAATCACCCAACCCGACACAGCCGAGCCCATGTCGTTCCAAGTTCAGAGCTCCTCTGGCAGCAACGCCGCGCCCACCGCAAACCAACAGCAGAGCCTGTTCCAGGAGCAGCAGCCCATGCAGGTGACCCCGAGCCCCAGCCAGGTTCAAAACAGTCAGCCGATGAAGCTGTACATCCCACAGACGTCCCTGTCAGGGCTGCAGGGGACCATTGGCTCCCAGGAGCTCAACACCGAGGCGGCAGCTCCAACTGCAACCATCTTTGTGGTGCAGGGTGGTGTTGGCGTGGTCGCCAGCCCAGGCCAGCAGCCGCCAGAGCAGCTGTTCCAGACCGCAGTGGGCGGCACCGTAGCGCCACAAGGGCAGCCCAACCTATTTGTGTTTGGCATCCAGAATGGTGAGACAGTTTTAATCTTTTTTCTTTTTTTTGAAATCATTTTACCAGCAGACTTTGTCGTCATCAGTGGTGAAGATATGTAACCCTAACTCTAACCCTAGCATGTGATTGGTTAAGGACAGACCGGTCTGCAGGAGTGTTACCCTGCCTACTCGCTCTGTGTGCAACACAGGAAATGTTTTTCTGCCATAAAAAATGTGTCCAAAATATAAATGTAATCTTCATTAAACAAAATATAGAAGAACTTTTCGACAGCAAACCATCAACTAATTTCCCCTCATAAATAAACAGAATCATTATTGCCTTGCATCTCAGCAGCAAAATGGATCTTCTTCACCTGAGAAGTGAAATGCTGAACATCCTTTGAGACAGAAACGTTCAACACATTACATCAAACATCTTGCATTACAAAATCACCACTCTGTAAAACCAGAATCACCTGAACTTTATGAAGCTTTTAAGATTGTTGGAGTTTTAACCACAGTTTCTTTCTTAGTAAAAATGACTCTGTTCTCTCTTTCCCTCAGACTCATCCCAGTTGCTCAGTTCTTCTGGACCGAACCTGCCTGCTCAGACCCAAGCCCAGAACTCCAGTCACATACAGCCTCTGCTGGATCAGCCCATGCCCCAGGCCGCGCCCGCCATGCACAGCAATCTGCAAAACACTCTTCAGGCACAAATGCAGACCAGCCTAGAAAATGCACTGCAGTCAAACACCCAAACTCCAATGCAGACCAGCCTGCAGACACAGATACAGAGCAGCTTACAGAATCAGATGCAGGCGACCATTTCTGCAACGTCTGGCATGGATAAAATCGAGGACATCCTGGAAAGTCTGCAGAAGCAATGAGACGGGTCGGGACACGTGTGGCTTAAAGTTACATTTCATCAAATTGGCAACGGTGGTGTGTTGGTTTTTGTGCCAGTGCCATAAAACAAAACAAAAAAAAATCTTAATGCTTAATAACAATACGCCCTTTTACTAAAAACCCAAATTATGAGGTTTGACATGATTTTTAAAAGGTAATTATTAATTCATTATTCATTTTAGCTATCGTTCATTACTCTTGAATTGTTGAATCCACCTTTGTAATTACCCATCCTGCAAGTTAATGAGGCCCGGAGTAACTGCTTCATGCATTAATGTAAAAAAAAACAAAAACAAAAAACTGCAGTGTTTCTGTTTTGTGCTTAGATGATGTGAGCCTCAGAAATGATGCAACAAACCCGCCAGGTGTGGGAGGAGAAAAAAACTGGGATGGGATAAAGAATGTCGGCCACTTGGAAACATCTGCGGAATAGGAATGGAATGTCAGATAAAGGCTGAATCTCATTTTGTGAATGTGTGAACTCTGAGGTTTCATTTCACTTCAGGGTTTCAGGCTGTCAATCAGAAAACTTTAGGATTAAATGTAATGTTGCTGAAATGGCTCGTGATTGAAGACATCTTTGGTTTTAGTTTTTGGCTTTGAAAAATTCTTTCAATTTTCCTCAAACTGCGGATTTGTACCTCTACAAATCCATGTATGTTGAAATGCTCATTTCTTTGAGAATAAGGATGTGTTTTTTTATATTTGTTAGTATACATTTGTTCTGCATTTGAAGTGTCTGATGAAGAGGACAGAAGCACAAAGCTATCAGTTTTTTTACTTGAACTAGGCATGGGAAGGGATGAGATTCTCACGGTACAACCTTGAATGTCACATTTTTACAATATTTTTACAAAAATGAATTTCTTTAAAAATATATTCAAACTGCTTCTAAATGAATACATCTTTTAACTGTTAATTTATCTAGTCTCAAGCAGCAACATAGACTAGCCATCTTCTAAATTTAGTAGCAGCAAAATATTATTCCTCGTCATTCTGAGCGCCGACAGCATAAGTTCATATTGGTTTCTCGGACCATTCAGGCTATCATTTAAAAAGAGCCTTAGCTTAATGAAAGAGATTGGTGACGCTTCTACAGTTTCTACGCTATGACTGGAAATCTCCCCAAGCTGCCTGAAATAGTTTTTTTATTTTTAAGAGAGAGGAATGAAGTACTGGGGTCTTCTCTCAGCAGGTCCAGCCACTTAAAGCTCAATTAGCTAACCCTGCTGTTAGCTGTTTACCAGACATGCTGGTCATACTTTGCTAACTGAAGTTTTAAAACAGAATTACATAGTAAAGGTGATAGGTGGCTGAAATTATTATTTTTTTCTTTCCTTTTTAAATTTGTAGTTTTTAAATAAAAATGGTTTACCCTGATGCCTCTAACTGACCCATGCTTATGAAAAAAAAAAAAAGAAATAAAACTTCTCTTTAAAATGTATTGTGAACTTCATCGGGTGCGAGGGGGAACATTACACAATCACAAATCAGGTTCAGCCTGTTGAATAATGTGACTTTTTGTGGACGCCATGCAGTGTTTTCATGTTTCGGCCTCATCAGTAGGTTTGTGAAAGCTTTCTGGATGAATTTTCAAACATCATTCATGTGTGTGTTGTGTTCAGTTCTTTTTTCTTTTTTTTTTTTCTTTTTGATGTGTTAGTAGTTTTTACCAATTAACCGTGGACAGAAAGCAGCTTTCCACTAGTGAAAACAAGAGTGTTGCGTGGTTTTATAAACATTTTATCTCAAGCACTTTATGACCTCTTTGTGTAACCCGCTCCTCCTGATTATGTCCGTCCACAGCTCTGTAAGGAACAAGCTGAATTTGTACACGAGAAAAAAAAAGAAGGCAGTTGTCTTTGTATCGATGAATACGTTTTAATCAAACATTTTCACATTTAGTCTTTTTTTTTTTTTTTTTTTAGCAATAGCGTTTATATAGAATGTCAACTTACTGTTCAAGTCTCAGTGGCCCAGTCAAAGCCTGTCCAGAAGCAGCCATTCCCACTAGAACATTGCGATGTTTCACTGTTTGGTTCAGTGGGCCTTTTGTGTTTTACACCATCGCCATCTAAGATATTCTTTCATCTTTTGCTCTGAAATGAAGGATTTGCGTTCAGTTCTCCTTTTTGTACCGATTCACTGCAGACTGTTTTGCCATTTGTCTCGTTTGCGATGTTTTTTTTTGTAGAGCGTTCAGAGTGGCACCGGATGAAGTTTTACGACTCGTCTCTTTCATACTGAGCGAGGGCTCGCTGTTACTTAGAGGCCGAAGCTCCTTGTTATCTATGGTGCTATGTACAGGAGCACCTCTGCTGTGACGTTAACCATTTCTAATAGCACTGGCTTTGTTTTTAACCATGTCTGCAAAGTTGAGTCCACAGCGCTGGCTGTTTGTTGTGGGTTCGGACCGGAGCGCAGCCAGGCGTACCAAAGCTCCCGTTGTGATTCGTCGCCATCCGGACACCCTCGTGATGTTTACTCATTTCTACAGATGAATGCAGCTCTCCCGTGGAAAGCAATTCAGCAGATTTACAAAAGACAAGAAAATAAAAGGTACTTTCCACCAATCTGATGCAGTGCATGACTCGGGGTTCCTACATTTATGCAGTCTGGAAAAGATTGAAATCTCAATTCTGTATTTTCCAGATCAGCATGAAAAATTTTGATATTTCCGGACTTCATTCCTTGTCCCATTGCACACGTGTTCTGATTCCTTGTGTCCATCTGTCACATTTTTTTATCTGACATTCAATCTTAAATCCTTCCTTAGTCTTCTTTCCTTGATGCCTTTCTTCCTTGTCTCGTTACTTCCTTCCTTTCCTTGCTCTTCTTTCCACTTCCTTCTTTTTCTTTAATTCTGTCTTCCTTGGTAAAATCCTTGGTGGCTTCCTTCCTTGTGTCCTTTGTCTCCTTGTTCCTCTGCCCTTCCTTCAGTACTTACTTCCTTGCTCAAAACGTTCCTTCTGTTCTTCCTCCATCGTTCCACCGTTTTTTGTTTTATTTACCGGTTTTAAATCAAAACGCATAGCAAACATTTATGTTTAAAAATGAGTCTTGAAAAGTCTGAAATTTTTTACACAAACATTGTGTGGGAACCCTGATGATTTTTTTTCCCATGCAGATGACACTGCTTTGCTTTCCATATTCAAAAGTAGCCAATTTGGCATCATCAAAAAGCCAATTTTTGATAAATATTCAGATGTTCTTACACCATTGGTCATAAATGCATTTTGTTTACATCGTCATAGTCATATTCTTGTCCTGCAGCTGTTAGTGATCCATTTTAAAGTAACTTATCTTTTTTAAAATTTTGTATCCATGTATCAGTGTAGAGTATTTTTGTAAAAACTAAGCTTTTTTTTTTGTGGTTTTTGCTCATGGCACAGGAGATATCATTGAGATTGTGCTTTTCTTGAGATGAAGCGCAGGTTTACTGTGAACTGTTTGAAGTTGAGAAATATAATCAAGTGGACATCGTTATTGATTTTACCCCAACTGTGCAAACCTTATGACGTGTGGGCAAGTTGTCTTTTTCATTTTTTTTTTTCTTTTTCATTTTTTTTTCAACTTAGTTTTCATGTCATGCATCTCAAATGGCACTTTGACTCATCCATTTTACTGTAGATCAGGTGAGAGCGCAGCCACGCCGTCTCCAAGCATTCCGTTCCTCTCGGTCAGGGGAGATTTTAAAAAGAGCACACGATGTTGTGGAAGAACCGTGGAAAGGTTAATGCCTCTTAAAGCCATACCAACACAGAAAGCCAACCTGTGACTTCGCTTTCATGAATGTAAATTTTACCTCATGGTGTGGACACCTGGCTTGGTCTACATCTGACATCGGACCAATTACCATTTTAGAGATTTTTTTTCTTTTGCTTTGTTTTGTTTTCTTCTGAGGCGAAGGGAATAGAAGTGGGTGTGGCACCAGCTGTCATTCGTGTCTCCATTCATTAGTTTTCTGTCGGATGGTGATTTGGTTTCATGTCCAGCCCTTCACATTGTCCAGTGAGCCGGTATATTTAGGCCTAAAAAAGAAAAAAACAGAGAACCTTGTTAAATATTGATTCAACTGTGGCGAAGAGAAGAGAGCACACACACATCTTTGCGTTATGTCAGAGGGCAGAGGGAGGCTTGTCCCTTCAGTCATGTCGGTGAATATCCATGTATATTTAAATGTGAAATATACTGCAGGGGTATCTTGAATTTCAATTGTGATGCTTTGAACAGAACTTTGTGTGCCTTGACAACTTAACCATTGCTCTGCTGTGTTTACTGGCGTCCCTTTTGTGTCCCTGCTCCTTGTCCTTTTTATCCTCTCTGACCCGTAATCATTTCAGCAGTCATAAACATAGCTCATACTGATATATTTTCTTGTAATTTAGTCGTCGAGATGTGTGATTTTTATCAAAATATTGCGCAGCTTCACATTTCTGTAGTTTTCTGTAAGTTTTTTTTTTTGTTTTGTTTTTTCATGCCTCATGAGATTTGTAAGTGTGAGGTAAAAGGGACAAGACGGTGGCGATTGTTTTTGTAGAAAACGTCCTGGTGTTGGTGTGCTTGTCAACATTTGTTGATGTGAAACGCTCGATCAAAAGGGGCAGCCATGATGAGGTAACTGTTTGCCAATAGCGTGAGCTGTACCTTGTGCATAATCAGTTTGCTCACTTTTCCTAGTTTGCTTTCGACTTCACATCCTTCAACTGTTCTGTTGTATCAGTTTTGTGTAGCTTGAGCTTTAGTATCTTAGCCTTAAGACCCTGCAGTAAGGATAAAGGTCAACCCCAGCGTGTTATACATTTGAACTATTATTAACATGTACTTTGCCTTTGTCTGGACATTTGTATACTCTTCTGTTTATATCTGTAATCCTGCTGCTACATTAAATGAATTAATAAAAATTTAAATGTCTAAGTTTGAATTTGTAGCTACTAGCCACACTTTTCTGTCAAGTCAAACTCGTGTAAGATACAGTTCACCACCTAGAAGGTGAGGTACTATAGTCAGTTTTGTTGTGAATTATTTCATCTGAAACACTCCCCACCCCAAAAGCAAACTCTTCTGATAAGATTACTTTTAAGACATGATGACTCATGATAAAATGGGAGTATTTTTCTCATATTACGGCCCATTAAGCAATTTGAATACATCAAGATACTTAAAGAGGTCATGTTGCCTTATCCTGAAGAAGAAATCCCAAGCAGACAACCTAAGAGAACAGCAACAAGATATTGAAATTACAGCACAACCCAGTCCTCTGATTTATTCCAATAGAAAACTTGTGTTTGGGTGGCATCACATTTCTCTGTTGATGTGAAACGCTCAACAACATTGATTTTTCTGATGCAAAATCAAGAAATGCAGAGAAACTGTAGCCTTGTTATTCTGGGCTAAAACACCATCAAATGTTGGCTCAGTATTTTGGTGTTGATGCAATACATGATTGAGTTTTTAATGCGGATATTCTTTGAATAGCCCAATGTTGGTTCCTGTTGTGTGATGAATTTGAAATATTTATTTATGTTTTGGTTTGGAATAATGTGCAAGGTTCCCATTTCATTTGCATTTATAGAAACTATATTAGCGCTTTTAAGTAGAAACATTTTGAACACAACTATAATTAACCATATTCTTTGGTTGTGTGGTGTTTTTCTCAGTGTGTTCTGAGGAAAACACTTACTGGTGTGTTTTAGGTTGTTTGCTTGGGATTTCATGTACCATTATTGAAATGGTACATAAAAACACTTCACGAAAAAAAGCTTTTAGCTTTTAAAACCTTAATTCTCAGCTGAAATGCATATGTTAATAGGTTTATTAATGAAGCAAAGTACAGCACTGGGAACCTTTTTTTATTAGGAAGCATTGAGATGTTTACTGGTGGAAACAAAAGTGCATCATTTTTTTTAAACATCTGGTGTTTAGAAATTGAGAATCATATTGTACTCTAGCTACAGGAGTTTAGAAGAATTACATCAAGTGCAATCATAGCTTACTCAGTTTTTTATGCAGAATCTTTTTGAAAAAGGCTAAAGGATCCACAAGATCAAAACCAACATCAAATTGAGGCTTTTTCTTTAGAGCGAGAACAGCAACCAATGTCGCCAGCATAGCCGTCAGTCCAAATATGTGATACTGGGTTCCTGAAGTAGGGTCTCTGAAGTAAAATGAGTGCAGCGGTCCAGTCATCCCAGCAACACCATGGGTAACGTAGTGGTCCTTCTCTCTGGTGAAGAAGTCCAGCGGGACAGCGAACACGGCACTAACCTCTGATGGGTTTGGGGTTGGAGTAAATGTTTCCTCTATAAAACCAACAACAGGGCTCACCAACAAGCCTCTCTGTGGAAGAAGATGAATAAATCAGAGAAAATGGTGCATCTGGTTCGCTGACACAAAGTGGATTAGGTTCAGGTACTCCTCTACCTTGCTGAAGACTGGAAACAATGTGCAGACCACCTCCACCTGATCAGGCGGTAAGCCTATCTCCTCCTGTGCCTCTCTTAGGGCTGTTTCAACATCATCCCGGTCACTGGGGTCTCTCTTTCCACCAGGAAAACACACCTCACCAGCACCGGTCCTCAGCTACACAGGTGAAAGAAGGTCTGGCATGAAGCTGAAACTGAAAGACGGCATTTATCCTCCACAGAGACGTCACAGGTTACCTCCTTTGAGCGTAGAGTCAGCAAGGTGTGCAGCTGTCCTCCTCTCACAAACAGGGGGATCAACACTGACGCTTTAGGAAGGACGGGAAGATAGGAGAACTTTTCTCCAATGTCAAACCGCTTTAAAGTGGCTACTGTCTCCTCTTTTAGATTCATAGTGGTACCATACATTAACGCTTTTCGACCTGCGACGAAATATCTTAATTTCTGTAAAACAACAAACATGCCTTTTTATGGCTTTAATTAGTTTCCATTTAAATCAAAGGAGTGGAGTTAGCAAAGATTTACCTCACAAGCTACGAGGGTCCACAGTAGTTGACAGCTGCTACGACCAAATTGTATTGTATAACATTTGAATATATACTGTTAAAGTAAATACCTTATTTCCAATTAGGAAAATATTTAAAAACTATCATTTTGAATAAACATACAACGCGAATTGACGATACACACAAGTTCCGGAAGTCTGTTCACCTTGTTGGCGTGCGCAGCTAACGCCGATTGGTGCTTTCTTCGAAAGACCCGCCCCATTTTTCTCCAAACAACAATCCACCTCACCTGACAGAGGAATGACAACCAATGATGATAGAGCACGGTCTTGACGTGTCGACGCCACCCGGTAGAAACGATACGTCAACGCGGTTGCCATGTTGTGAGTGGCAAGAGTTCCTAAAAATGTTTACAAGCCAGGTGGAAGACTGATTTTTAGATATAAAATTAAATATTTACACATAATGAATTTTAATTATTTATGTTTGGTATCCAGCTGTATATTCTCAGCTGTAATATAACAGTCATGTTATAGTAGAACTGATTATGACCACTTAGACAAGTTAACCAAATCTACAATGCACTTAAGCTGACATTATTTTACCTGTACATAAAAGATTTAAATTTACAACCAAGTTGTAAATACATAAATTTAAATTTATGTATTTTTGTTATCCTATTTAGACTGTTAGACTGTAATTAATTAAGCTGTACTATTAGAAAAATATAGACTGGATGTCTTTCTGGTATAGCAGCATTATTTATTCTTCATATAAAGCAGTGGTAGGTATTATAGGTATTATTAAGAGCATTAATGGAAGTAGTATTACTAGTAGTTTTTCAATTTATTACAAAATATATTGAAGAAGCAGCTAAGGAAACAGTAAACTAGGAACAAATATATTCAGGAAGCTGGTTTAAGGAATATTTTGGGGATTGTAAGATGTTGCATCATCCTGTTGAGAGTGGCTATCAGAAGTACTTTTCTTGTATCAGGTCATAATAAAAAACAAAATACCACATAAGCAATTGAATGTAAAAATATATACAACGTTTTCCCAAAGCCAGTCTAAACAGATGAGTCTTCAGGTATTTTTGCAACCACCAAAAGCCTTTCACCTTCACTTTTAGGCTTGACTATAGAAACAAAATGGGCAAATGATGAAACAAAGGAATTTCAACCCATAGACAGTTTCAGATTCACACACATTCGCTCTTAAAATGAGAACCTGGTAACTATAAGTAACTAAGAAACTACACCAGACGAAGGATTCATGGTTTTAATGGGACTTGTATTGTTGTAAACTGTTTAATGAAAACATGAAATATATTAAATAAAGCATAGATTGTATTACAAACAAATTTATAGAACAATGAGAAGTTTTTTCAGCATTTAGAATCGAAACATAACTCTGAGGTCAAAAGCTATGAACAGCTCAAGTATACAGACAAGGCCTGATTAATAAGCCAGAATAAATTAAAGACATTCTTTCTTCTCAGTGTCTAAAACAATTTCACAGCTTTACAACTTAAGTCTATATACATAAATATGGGAAATAATTAAAATTTAACAAAAATATATCTACATAATTAATCCCACTTTTTAATAAGGATGAAAATAAATATTCTTAAGGTCCATAATATACCACAGGTCATATGTTTTGTGGATTGTCATATATAAAAATAAATAAGATTCAAAAACACAATAAAGCTAAGCAGGGTCCATCACAGTGGTCCAAGTCTTCATGGAGTCACATTTGCAACACTTTGAATTCGTCTTTGTACTTCTCCTTGGCTTGATCGTTCAGTATACAGATGTGCTGCAAAACAATGAAATCCATGAGAAGAAAGTGAATCACTGTGGAGACATTTCCCGATTACATTTTTAAAGAATGAACAGGTCCAAGTCTGTAACTCAGTCAGCGAAGTAGCAACAGTTTTTAAAGATTAAGTTATGCACAACAACAAAGCTTTTGATAAACACCATTTCTATCAAACATTTCCTGCTGCATCTATTCATAAAATTTGCATTAAAAAACGAAAAGGCATCCTACATGCACGATCACTAGAGAGTACGTTTCCATATCAGAACCTGAAAACTAAAACGATGAAGCCGCTGGACACATGGAAGCTTTTTCCTCAAACAGCTCAGCTGACACTAATTAGTCATCTGAGCCTTGCACTTCCCCTCCAACAGTCAAGGCAGCCCTCAATGTCATTCAGCTGTCCGACCTGTGAATTTCTTCTCCTGCTAATATTACACAACTTCACCATTTTAGACTGCAGCCTCGCTGAAATAGGAGACAACAGCTCTCCGACTAGAAGTTGATTTCCTAAACAGCGCAAGGACTTTAGCCTCTTCAGTCCTACGAAGAGGAGTCCGACTTCATGAGACGGTCACCTTAAAAACAACCTTTCATACAAGAGTTTTTGAAGTCATTTTCTTTGCTGATTAATGTCTATGGTCACATCAAGACACAAATCCTCACTTATCTGCTCGATTCACGTGTGAACCAAATAATGTGGGAATTATTTAAAGGCCAAAAGGATGGACTTATTCCAGGACCAATTAAGGCATTTTTAATTTGTTGCAGCCTTCTCTCGAATCATTTGAAGATCTCGGGTGCAAAAAGTGCAAAAGCACTGAGGATTTTCAAGTGGCTGGTAGTTTTCAAACATGTGGACCATTTTAGAGTAACTTACTATACTTTGTGTAATTAGCATACAGTTTTGTTTCTTAATTTAAGGCAACACTCACACACATTAAACGATTGGACTGAAAAATTACAGTTTCCCATCCAAGTCCAGCCTCAAGTCTCTAGTGACTGAAGGAAATGTTTTTATCACTTAATATTAAATTGAAATCATATACAGTAAATGTTTTTGAAAATTTCAAGTTATTTTTTTTTGCTTTTGTCTTCTGCTGTTTTGATTACATGGCAGTGATGAAGGTCTGCATAACCGCCAGGTGATTTATG